TTTAAAACCAGGAGATGGCTCTGATTCTCAATTTTTCATTCTTTTTACTTATTTTTTAATTATTTTATTATTTTCCATTTTTTTTATAAATTTATATATTCTTTTAATTTATTTCTTTCAGTTTTTTTGAATCCAGAAATTGGATCAATTTCCATAATAAACTGAAAAAATTTCACTTTATATATACAACACTATTTTCAAAACGCCATCATTTTTAACACAACTTTAATATGAAAAATAATTGATATGATCGCGATGGAATAATATCGCAACTCACTAACTATATCGAAACCCACATTAAAATGAATACATAAATTTAAAAATAATTAAATGTATAAATTATAAATTAAAAAATAAATCAAGAAATAAATATATAGAAATAAATAAATTTATAAATGATTAAATAAATGATGGGATAAAAAAATATTATTTAAAAAGTTAGATGAATAAATAATAAATAATATAGAACAGCAGTATTAAATATTAATTTCGAATAAATATTATAAAAATAATAATTATAAATATAAAAATAAATGATAAAATTATTCTATTATAAGAAGTTAAAATGTTATAATATCGATCCTTCTCCCAGAAAAGTTCGTTAAGAAATATTCGGTCTCCCGACTTAACTCGTATTTATAGGTTGCGGTGACAACCGAAGTTCGTCGAAGCTATACGTTCCTTGTCGAATATACTTTTTGAATATATTAATCAATTATTTAGTAATTTTGATCATTAAATTGTTAATTTATATTTCTAATAATTTATTATGATTATAAATATAATAATTAATATACATTTTATAAACTAAAATTAGATTTATTGTTTTGTAATATTAATTTTTGATTTATAGCTGTGTTAAAATATTTTAAATCATTTTATATGATTTTATAATGATTTATAATGATTTATAATGATTTATATAAGATTTATAATAATCAGTAATTTTTAAATTTTTATTATTTGTTTAATTGAAGCAAAAAATGAATTCTTAACTTAACACGAATTATCGATAACCTCAACAATAATGATTGTTAGAAAATGCATAAAGCAATTCAAAAACATTAATTATTTTTATCATTATAATAATAAATAGATTATTAAATAAACGAAACTAGTAGTAATTTATAAATTTAATAACGGAATACGAATAAAATTGCTTACTGTATATCGAATTATCGGTTATTATCACTCACCACAATTACTTTCCATAGGAAACTAACACTGTACGTTATAATAATCGAAGTCGCTTTCTGATTGGTTAAAACAATTTTAATTATTCGTAAAATCGTTCATGAAATTAAAGTATTGCATGATATATTAAATATACTCTAATTAAATATATATTAAAAGCAAATTATTAATTTATTAATTTAATAATTATTTATTTGATTTACATATTTATATATTTTTTAATTAATTAATTTATTTATTTCTTGTTTTTTTATCGATTATCAATTTATCGATTATTTACCTATTTATTCGTCAATGATTTATTTGTAAACTTTTTTATAGATTTCTTTGTTTTGCTCATTTATATATGTATCAATTTATTTATTTATTTATTCCTTCATTTACTTAGTGATTTATTTATTCATTCATTCATTTATCACATAGCACTTAGATATTTATTTTATGAATTATTTATTTATCCACTTATCTAATAGCCTCATTATTTATTTATTTATCTATTTATGTAATTGTATATATATATGTTCATAAAAGTACAATCAAAATTGAAGTGATATATATATAACTATATTTCAATTATTCGAAATATTGAATATATATTAAGAGTAAATTATTGAAATCAATTTAATATAAAAATTTAAAAAATGATAATAATTAAAATAGTAATTTTATTATTATATTAAATAGTCAATGTAATAATAATAAATAAATTACTAGAAAAATTTGTGAACACATACACATACACACACACACACATATATATAAATGAATAAATAAATATATAAAAATATATAATATAAATTGATACATATTTAAAAGCAAAAAAATCTATAAAAAAGTCACTATTATTTACAAATAAGTCATTAAACAAATGAATAAATAATCGATAAATTAATAATCAATAAAAAAATTAATAAATAAAGTAATAAAAAAATATATAAATCATTATTAAATTATTAAACTAATAATGTAATAATAAATTATTAATTTTATTTAATTTTTTTAATTTAATTAGGATAATTAAATACAATATATTATGCAAAATTTTTACGTGATTTTGATTGTAGAATTAGCTACGACGCTAACCAATCAGAAAATTGTTATTCGAATGGCGCGTGGCGTCAGTCTCCTGTGGAAAGTCGTGATAATAATCATTTTCGAGTACGCAATATAAATAATTCTATTCATATTCTTCTATCGAATTTATAAATTATTATTACTTTATTTAATAATTTATTTATTATTGTAATGATAAAAATAATTAAAGAGTTGTTTTGAGTTTCTTTATTCGTGTTTTGATCTCAGAATTTTATTTATTTAACTGTTGAGGTTACCGATAATTTGTGTTTCGTCGAAATATAAATTCACTTTTTTCATCTAAGTATGATTTTCTTATACACTTATTTTACTATTTTTATATTATTTTGGACAAATTGTCGTTCGAGTCTTTTTAACCATATATTGAAACAAATATATAAAATCGTAAATTTGTCAAATTAGATTATATATATAATATATATTACGTTTCTAAATATATTTTTTTATATTTTTCTTTATTTTTCGTCAAATATGCTTAAAGTTGATGATTTTTTTTTTTTTTATAATATAATCTTTATCCAAGAAATTAGGAATTTGCGTTCTTTACTGATTTATTTAGCTGTTATGATTTTCTAAAATAAAGTTTATATTGATTATTATTTTAATGTCATCGATTAATTTTATACATTTTATACGATTATTTTAAAGTTTATTTTCTTTCATTCAGATTATTATTTGATTATTGATAATAATTTTAAAGACGAGAAAAATTTCAATATGGAGGCCATTGTACTTTTCCAAAGAGAAATTCGATTATTTTTTTTGTATATATTTATTGTTCTTTTCAATTGTTTTTATTTTATTATTTCAGAATATATTTATAATTTTACAATGATTACTATATTCATATTCATACTTTTATATTCATTACAAATATTGATATTTTTCTGTTTAAATAATATATAATACAATTTAAAAATATATATTCTATCTTTTTATATTTGAAATTTTTAGTCATTTCTTTCTTTTACCTTCTTTCTTACTAATACAGTTTTATTTTCAGAGGATTTTTATATAATACGGTTGGTAGATTCAGTGTTTGCTCCGTAATAAGTTTTTAATATTTTAAAATTTATTTTATTTCTGATTAAATTTGTTATAGTCGCGAAATTAGAATCAGTGTTTGCTCGTTAATTGTAAATTAAACGCGTCAATAATTATTTTTTTTTTTTTTTAAATATTCGTTTTCTATACAAGAATATAGAATAAGTGTCAGGATAAAATCTAATAGAAATAAAGCGAAAATGTATTTATTTTTATATATTTTCTGTTTCATCTCATTCAAATAATTAGTACATTACGTTTAAAATGTTTTCTATATTTTGTTACAGTTTTTACTTCTTGATATTATTTGATGAATATTTCGTGATGGATATTCTATGGATTACAGCAGCATTGATGTCAATACAGATTCTTCGCATGTATTGGTGAGTACATACATTTATGTTCCTCTGGTTTTTCAATCGTATTGTAAGATGAAAAATCGGAATCGATGACTGGTTTTATACATAGATTTTTGTACGAGTACAGTAACAACGGGTATTCATATTTGTGAGTAGTAATATTAGATATAAAATATTTAAATTTTATATATAGACATATATTAGGTTAGATTAAAAATCGAACGTTTTGCAACTATCAAAAGAAAGATTTATCATTGATTTTATAAATAAATTTTTGCATAAATAGGATTAGGGATAGAATGGATTTTTTAAAATTTTTTTGTAAAGATATATTATTAAGAAATAAGAAAGCTATATTTTTCGAAGTCGGTATTTCAAAACATAGAATGAAATTTATAAAATATCATCAATCCTGTGTATCTCGTATATGTATCTGACGTATATGATCTTTTTCCACTTGGTAACCATAGCTCAACAGACAAGAGCTAACTGTTGTACCGATAGCAGTGCAAGTAGCTTACAGATTTTTAAAGAATATTAAATTTATAAATTTTAGAATTCAATTCACTTCACAATTTTTAATTTTTATTAAAATTAATTATTACTCAAGAATATTTTTACATGATAAAAATTGTTAATTCAATTTATAAATTTTATGTCAATTTTCTGAATGTAGATGGCACTATATGTATACATGAAAGCATAATTTTAACTGAAATTTTAAATTCAATGTTATATGTTATTAAAAAAAAATCAATTTTGAATATTATAAGAATCATATAATATATAAATTATTTTATATATAATTTTGTAAATTTTCAATTATATTATAATAATATATAACTTCAATATATAAATATTTAATTATATATATACAATTATATTACGGTAATTAAATAAAAAAAATGCAAATTAATTATTGTAAAAATTGATTTTATCGTTGCATTATGAAATTTTTATAACAAAACAAGTTTTTGGAATGAATCTAAAAGAAATTTCTCATTCGACGATTTAGATAGGCACGTGATTTTTTAAACTGTATTTCAGCCAATAAGATTTAAGCATGCTTGGTACAATATATTTAAAATTAATTCAATCTTAGTTTTTAATTATTCATTATTTGAAAATTTTTTAAATTTTATTACAATATCTTCACACTATTGAATATGTATAAAAGTATCTTTCATACGTTTAGAATTTAAAAAAAAAGACTAATTATAGTTCTCTTAAAATATCGTTGCCCTGAATTGATTTAACTGGAAAGAATATGGCTACTGCTCTCGAATCTGTTTCGATGTATCGCTGAACGATATTCTCGTTTCAAATCGATGGTCGTTTTCACGATGGACGGCGAACGTGCCGTGGACTGGATGTTCGTGCGAAATGACGATTTTTCGTGCTGACCATGTTTCGTATTTGAGAATTAATGTGCATCGATATATGCAATCGTGATTTTTGAGAGTTTCGTGCGGAAAGTAGATAATAACGATTGTATAAAACCAACGAATCGTTAATGGTGCTAATACGAAGTGTGTGCTGTGTACGACAGTAGTCTTCTCGTGTGCTTTCGTATCGCTGTCAACGAGAATCTGATTATTTGGACTTTAGATAAATTATAAAAAAAAATTTTATGAAACGAATAAGAAGCACGCCGTGAATTTAAGTTTAAAGAACAAAAAAATATATTATTATTTTAACGAAATAGAATCGCGCAAGGTACGCCCCTTTTACAGGTGCCAATAACATTTTTGCAATATTAATCGAAAGAATTAACTAACAGGAATATTTCTCGATGAAATTAAATTTGAAGACGTACCCAAAATTTCTAGTGTGATATGTTTCTGCAATTTTGAATTTAATGCCTGTTCTTGGTTTTTCCACTGTTTCGCGCAAAATCGATAAAGAAGCTCGCACATTGCCCGTGGAGTGCAGAACGCGCGAGGAGAATTGCTGACAAAAATAGCAAAGTCCTCGATAGACAGTAGAAGAGTGTCCTTAGATTTGCTATTATCGTCCTTTGCATCATTTTGTTGTAATCCGGCATTATTTTAAGTGCAATTTTTAAGTACACTGCGTACAGCGCTGCTTGTCGAGGGAACGCTGCTCGAAGTTTCAAAATATCGTGTCTATTGTAGCCTTGTGTGTGTTCCGGCACGAGCCATAAAGTTAGCCTGTGATTATTTAAATTTTTTCGTTACCGATCTTATTGTAAATATTCCGAATCGATGATTTGCATCTATCGAATAGACTGGAAATCGAAGGTGATATCGTTCTAATGTGAGCAATCTATTCGTAAGTGATATTACGATTGTCCAAGCGCACACTCTAACCTTATTTCGAATGAAGTTGAGCGGTGTTCGTGCTACCTAACCTTCGCGTTCTTTAAACGGAATGTTCGAATTGTTCGAGGTAAACTCGTAAACGTGCCTCATGATCCCGTGATAGAAGAAATAATCGTGTATGTGTATCGAATAACGCGAAATACTTTGAACGCAGTATCTCGCCGGCTATGACGAGAACAAGGACCCGTTTGAACGGATCGTTGCTGCAACCGTCGCGAATGCTGTGATTTCATTGAATGTGGAGTGCGATCTCGCGCCTCTTCGTTAAGGGCAAAACAGAGGAATCTGCCCTGAGCACGGAAAATCATACGTGTGACGGTGTGCCCGATACGGTTGTCCATGTTTTCGACGCAATGGATCGTAACGCGGGTGATGATCGACGTAAGGGCCCTGCCGGCGAGCAACATCACGGCGGAGCCGAATTTGAACACTTTTCCGACGCCTATGATTCCCGTCAGGTATGTACTTGTATATAGATATCACTTTTACATTTTAATTTTATTATTTTACTTAATATTTATGAAAATATTTATTTGATAGATTAGGAATTTGATAAAAATAATGAATATGATATTGCTGAGTTATAGATAAAGTAAATGCTACTTTATGATAGTTAGTAGTAAATAGAAAGAGTATATTCATAGTATATTATATAATATATATTATATAATAATATAAAGTATTTATTTAACATAATGTAATTACTTAACACAACAATATCGATTCAAGTTTTGAGCTTCGAAACCAATATTTTCAAAGTTGTTAAGTTGAATTGATTTGAGGTTAGATTCTCTTTGATAAAGAAGTATATATAATTATTATATTATTGATTAATATTGTTTTTTTTATTATGTATATATCAAATATATATATACAATTATAATGTATATATATATATATAAAATATGTTATATATATATATATACTATTTATTTATTAAAAATATTACTGTTGGATTTTTTGATAGATCTTATGCCATTAATGTTTAGAACTGTCACAAGTTTTATTCAGACATTATTCAGATTTTATTTAGATTTTATCGTTGGAGAAGCATATTTTAAAGGTATTTTAGTTAATGCTATTTATGTTTTGATAGATCTTGTATGAATCACATCATATTTTCTAAAAAAATAGATTAATGTACTTACTATTAACTTATTATTTAAATTTGCATATATATTTTGAAAATATATTATACAGGTATATATTAGAAAGCTAAATAAGCTTGAATTTTATATTTAATTTTTCATTCTGTCATATTTTTTTCTAATTACATAAAATTTTTCATTCTACATTCGTACATGCAATTTTTCTCAAAGAATATTTTTATATAAAAGGGATTATTCATTATTTTGATCATTATTAAAAGTTTTTTACAACGCTAGAAGAATATTAATAAATATAATAGAGTAAGCGAGTAGAGTAAATAGTAAAGTAAATAGAATAAATAGTATAAATATAATAATAGAATAATAATACTTCAGAACATAAATAATTACATTACTCGGTATATGTAAAATAAATGTACATATGAAATATTATTTAATACGAGAAAATATATAGATAGATAGTTAATATTTTTAATTCAATTACAAAGACTAATTTGTTTCAAGAACATTTTTATTAAAATATCATACATTTTTATTAAAATATTTCAGTACGTTATTCATTTTTATTTAAAATTTTGCAAAATACTATTTATCAATTTATTTATTATAACTGATATATTTATTACTGATTTGATATAAAAAAGTTCTCAACTGTCTTTTGTTATCTTCAAATTTCTCGTTATATCGTTTTGTGAATCAAAGCATGAAATTCGCTATTTTAAATTAATAACTGTGACTAATTAATCTTTAATGCTCACAGCAATATTTCATAAAAAATTAAAAAAGTTGCACTTAGCAATGAAGAATTCATTTTCTTATTATAATAAACTTGATAGAATAAATATTTTCATAAGAAATGATTTTGAAATGTGAATATACCTGTCTCAACTAATCAAAATAACTTTTTATTAGATTTATCTCCTTGCATTAATCGTTTCTTTAATTTTCTCCTTTTAAATCGTTCAAATTTATTACGCTATATAATTATTTAAATTATTATTATAAAAATATCTAAAAAAATACAAAAATAAAGTACTATTCGTAAAAATAATTTACGAAAAAGTTTGAGATAATTAAATCTATTCAAAATAATCTATTCACCGCATTCTTTAACACGTTGGTCATCAGTAACCTATGTCGAAGCTTAGTTATTTTCATTATTCATATACGTACTGTGAAAAATCGTGATACGTTTGGAAAATGTGTAATTATTACGCATTTGACGAAGAATCTATTTCACTGTTTTACGTTGCATAATAATTTTCTTCTTCTCTCTAGAATATCTTTAACAAAATTCAAAAAAAAAAAAACGAAGGAATACTATATATTTTAACATAGCATTCTTTGACGATTATTTCACGATTATGATTTGCATTATATTTATAATGATACAAATTTTGTTATATGATCATTCAATCCCATTTTTCAAAAATAAAAATATTTTCGATAACGTGTCATAATATTTTTAACTAAAAAAAAAAACAGATTCTCAATTCCTTTGTTAATTAGTAACTTGGTATTCTAATAATAACAAACGAGAGATCATAATTAACATATAATCGATTTTTTATCAAAAAATACTTATCATAATCTGTATCAAAATCACTCTTCCGTAAACAAGACATGAATCTTCAGTTTGTTCACTGAAAATTCTTGTACATGGTATTTACACGGTTCACGTGCACGGATAGCCGTGCAGACGACATTATATACGAAAGCTATTCCCGAGCTGCGACGCTATGACGAATATGGCGTCGTTTCCTGTACGCAAGCTTATTTATTGCACGGTAAAACGAGGCTGGATCTCCGGGAATCGCGTCGCGCGATCGTAATTATCCGTTTAATTACGCCACTACCGGTGACTTGGAATGAAGCGACTCGTCCTTGGGGACTATGGAAACATTCTCTTCCTGGAAACTTGACCCTTTTATTCCATGTCACCGTGAAAAATGATTTTTCTCTTTGTAGAATTTGAAATATTCGAGTGTCGGTTAATTTTTCGCCACTTTTCTGGAGAAAATATTTCGAAAATATGATGGAGAATAATAGTAATTAAAAAATTAAAAACCAGATTTCTGTGGTTAAAAATAATCCGTATTGTCACGAATTGAAATTCTCCATTTTCAAAAGACGAAGTAACTGTGATATAAATATTTCGAATAATTTCATTATTCCATTTCCATAATCTCTCCTCGTTTTCCTTTCATCACGACATTTGCATACACCCCACGATTTATTTATCGTAACACCTTTTATACGACTGTACATGCATTTGAGAATACTGGGTTACTGGGTTACGCAGACGCGTCGAACGATTAGAATAGTATTTCACGGTGATATGCGTGATAGTTAAAGAGAAATTGGTAAATTTTAACGCGAGAAGGTGAGATAACCTCGAAGTATAAAATTCACGTGTTGCAAAAAATAAAGGATTTAAAATAGATGGAGGTTCGATGTTCTTTCTATTTTCTCTGTTCTTTTCTTTCGGTTGGATAGATCGTTTTCTATTTAAAGTTTAAATGTAATTTTAAAGATAAATCTTTGTCGTCCCTCCCTCCTTTGCTCTTTATCGATTATCGCAGACAAAAAAGTAGTTCTAAATATAAATAAAATTTGTCAGATTTGTTTTATTCTTGATTACTTTTTAATCAAAATAACGATGGAATTGTATATAAACTGACACATTCGTATTTTATCATTAAATTTCTGATTACTTTTAGAAAATTGCAGTAAAATTAATTAATTTTAATTCAAGACAAAAGTTAAAAACTAATTTCACAAATTATTTTACTTTACGTTTATTTATTTATTTATTTATTTTATTTATGCTACAATTTGGCGGTTATTAAATTTTCATTTAAATTTTTTTCGATATATTTATGAATGTTAAAATTTTTATTAAAACCTGAACTATCCTTACTCTTCCAAAGAAATACGAATAAATTTATTATTATTATCTAATAGATTAAATGTTCACAATTGTATTATTTTTAACGCATAAATACACTTGATAAATATTCAAAACTCAATACTGGATACTTTTCTTCGCGAACAACATTCTGCCCAACTATTCAATTGTCCATCCAACTCGAAAGTTGAACTTGCCATTGTCCTGTACGGTTCGTAGTTTGGTTTGCACCGTTAATCTTGGCACATGGCAGTTTGCGCAAACCCGTAGCAATAAACAATCAATATGTAAGCATCATAGTGACCTCGTTATCGATGGTCAAGCTTGGCCTCTACCCAAACGAACCGGTCGTGTCTTTCGGTTCCTTTTAAAAAAAAGGTGTCAGAAATCTAGCTGGCCGATATAAGAAAGTGGCGATTGTCGTTTGCCAACTGATCCTTCTTTTCTTTAACGCGGAACGAATCACATTTTAATGTCGATTAATTCGATTTTAGTGACGCCAATTTTTGAAAGTGTACATTGGCATTTGAAACACAGGATTATCGATAGCCTTTTGTGAAAAGAGTTGGATATCTCTAGAAAAAAGTATTCTATGTGTTTGTTGGCAAGTTTTTTAATTTTTATTTATTTATTTTTTTTTTAACGTAACGTAGTAGTGGCTTAACGACACTTCAAAAATTAAGGAACTAAAGTTTAATTCGATAAGTTAAAAGAAAGGAAGGAGAATATAATTGTTCAACTTTTATTATCTATATATATTGTTGATAGCAATGAAAAATATGTTTTCTTCCAAAGTTTAATCCAGACTAATATAATAATTTTGCAATTATTATTTTTCTTTCGAGTATATAAATATTATTCATTTATATCATGGAATATATTCTATTTTGTTTTCTTTTCGATTGTTGCATTCCAATGATTATCTCCGTAAATCTCATTTCCATTGATTTTCCATCTGACGATATCTTTGTCGCATCGATTTAAACTTATGTACAGATCGAGCAATAAATGGATCAAAATTGAAATCCAAGGTATTAGGTATGGCTCGATTAATTCGGTAATATTACCGATCGATGATAAGGATGTTATTGCACATGGCAGAGCTCGTATTTAAAGGATAGATTCGTCATTCATTGACTAACAGCTGTAACTGTTCCCTCATATACAACTGTGCGATATCGAGAAACTGGCGTTCGAAATACGATCTTATTTTCGTTCGTTTCTGTGAGAATTATTCATTAGCGCGTGAAATTATTTTTGTGTTATTTTTCGTTCAATTATCTCGAAGTGAAAACTGTGAAAGAACATTGTGGAAAGAAAAAAAAAAATGATCGACCGTGGCTTGACACGCGTGCACTTCAATCTAAATAAAGTGAAATTGGTGGAAGAAAGCGATTTTCACAACGCTTGTTCCGAATATAGAGATTGGCCAATATAACGA